ATATACATTGTATGTTACTGTATTAAATTTTGTTACTCTGTAAAATAAGTCATTAAAAGATATCATACTTTCATTATCATAGTAATAAACTAGTGTTATGACGTCACTGTATCATACCTTACGATTTTAGTGTATTTCAGTGTAATATGCTGTCGCTTATGATGTATGTCATTTGGTCGTACTGCACGAATAATGAGTATGCCATTGTAATATACTGTATTGTTATCACGTTTGCCATTTTAATATACTGTATTGTTATCACGTTTGCCATTGTAATATACTGTATTGTTAACACGTATGCCATTGTAATATACTGTATTGTTAACACGTATGCCATTGTAATATACTGTATTGTTATCACGATTGCCATTGTAATATACTGTATTGTTATCCCGTATGTCATTGTAATATACTGTATTGTTATCACGGTTGCCATTGTAATATACTGTATTGTTATCCCGTATGTCATTGTAATATACTGTATTGTTATCACGTATGTCATTGTACAATATGCATCACATTGTATTTGACCATTATTTTATACATATACCATTGTAAATTTGTAATATACTGTTCTATTTGAATGTCATTGTATGTCTACTCACAAAGGAAATAAAAATCTGAATCTGAATCTGAGAGTGGACCGCAGTCTGTGCCTCGAGGTATAGGTTTGTCTACCTGTTCGACGAATGGATTAAGGTTTTGAGTGATCGGGGACAAATCAGAGTTCGAGGAATACGGAGTATTCGAGCAATGGTAATTCGAGTTAACCGATATTAATATACAAAGAATATATAATATCACTGTCGGGACCAAGCGTTCTATTCGCGGTATATGGGATACTCGAGTAAGTGGGGTACGCTCACTGTCGTATCAGACACTGTATATGTTGGTCAACGATTGTATGATAAGTTTTCATTATGTTGTAAATACTGCGGGGAAATTACAAGGAAGGAACCATTAATCCAATGAGAATCAATTCAATAAGTCCATTTGTGTTGATAAGTGTATAATGTTAAGAGTATTTAACATATATAGGTAAATAGTATGAACTATGTATTTACGAACGACGTTGTTTTAATGAAACATTTTATAAAAGGGTGTCCGTTCAATAATGTAGAATATGTGTAACAGTAATTATTTTTTCTAAGCAAACATATTCTTAAATAAAACCCTCTTAAACTACAAATGTCTCTATCATGGTTCGCTGACCTATTTAATTGATGTTGGTGATAGGTTTGAGTCAACTACTCCACACCTTTATAACAGGAATATTTCTTTTTCTATTTATTACAGAAATATCTAGCTTGCTCAGACATAATTGAAAGCATTATATGTCGGAACCCCTCCCCCCTTGTTTTGCAAACTTTTATTAATTTTATAAGACAAGGTATTTCAAGTTACTATCCCTGATGCTAGCGCCCGGGTGGTCCTAATGTGGGAAGAAATCGGAGTAACTGGAGAAAGCCCATGTGGTCCGGCAGGTAGCCCCATACCTATTCAAGTTTGATCGGTGAGAAGAACCCCAGCCGCCTTAATTGGTGAGGGGCGAGTGTGTTATCCACTGATCAGATTAGTAACTCTTTGTTCTGATTATGTACATGGACATTTAAGATATATCTAAGTTAAATGTCTAAATGTGCCAAATTAGAAAATATCATTTTTTTATTTCACTGTTTGTCACGTTAAGGCCGAAACAGCGGCAAGGTCGCCATGCCTCCTTTTATTTCTAAACATTAAAGTATGACGTCAACAACCTTTAAACGTCAGTTTTGGGGAGTTACTCCACTCGAATTTGTAAAAAGAAAATATGTATCGTAAACACCGTTCAAAGACATTCACTTCGACAATGAAGTTAGATCGCTGTTGATTTTACTGCTTATTTCCAATCGTGTTTAATGATTAGTCAGCATATCACGCCATGCTGTGTTAAAGTGTCTTGCGAGGGAGATCTAAACATGATACGCATTTTTCAAACATTATTCCAATAAACTAGTATGTGGTACACAGTAGAGGCGGATCCAGAATGTGTTCGGGGTGGGGGATATGCTATTTAATTATATTAATGCATGGTTTTTAATGTGCTAATGTCCATTTATTAACAAAAAAAATAATACAAACTTTCTTGATTTAAAAGCAATTGAATGTGAATTTTATTGTCATGTATGCAAAGATATACAATAAAATCATCGTAAACTAGAATACCTTTGCCCTGTGGCTACGAACCACTGACCTTAAAGGAGCAAACGTCTCTATCATGGTTCACAGACCTATTTAATTGATGGTGGCCAAAGGTGTGAGTCAACTATTCCACACCTTTTTGAGGGTGGCGGGGTACATGAACAGATGGGGATGGAGGTTGGGTGGGGTTGCGGCTTTGGCCGTGGCATACATGTAGTACTTGGTGAGGGATGTTGTGGCTTGAGCAGTGTAATAGTAGTTATACACAACTGGAATCACCAGCAGTAATACAAAAACATCTATTCAGATAAGGTTGTTACGAGAACAAGTAAAGGAGATTGATAAATTATCCTTCAAACAGAAAATGTATCAGAGTGAAAATACATGAAACTAGAAAAAATAAAAATGATGCCGTATTCTGAACTACAGATAATTTTGCATGTACGCAAAATGTGTTAAAGGGTTATAATATATAGTTTTACTGCCCTCCCAAAAAAACTTAAACATATATTGGCCAAACATATATATCAGTGTTACAACTAACAAGAAAAGAAAAGAAAAAAGGAAAATATGACGTTGCTCACTTATGAAAGATATAGTGTGTACCTGTGTATGGGTATTATTATGAGTTTGCCCGTAATTAAGGACTAATTTGGTCTCACCCGATTAACAAACTATTACCTGTATAAAGCAAAACACCAAGCTATTGGCTATTTCAAAGACACGGGTACCTGGCAGACATAATGATATTTAATCTTAGTTTAAACGATGGTACAAGTATGTATATTTTACAAGTCCCATACAATATCTGGTACATGGCATGAAGGAGAGCGTGTTAGGTAGGGGATGCTCTCCACAGTGCTATGGTATCAGATACGAAACAATATAGGTATTTTGTGAATTGGATCGATGTATTTACGTCTAAGGGACCCCATTAGTATTAAGGCACACTGTGACTTTTTGGGTCATTTCAGATAAAGGCCTAATTAATTGAATCACATCCAGTTTTTTTAACACTCTGACTGAGTTCATTTGTATAGTTAATTATAAATAACATATATGAAAACACAAATATTAATGTCCAATTTGCAAACGTGGTATGGCTGCATTTTACCTATAAAATGCCCTAATCATTATAGATATTCTCATCTGTACTAGTGTAAAAGCCCTAATGCCTGGTTCGCCGCTGGAACAAAGGAAAGACGATGGGAGGCAGGTGGTATATAAAACGATATATTTGCATAATGATAATTATACTGTATATGTCTCTGATCAGCGACACCAATCGGTAACGGCTGGTCGTACGTCACGGATGAATGCCGAAAGAAGGTAATACTATCGACAGTAATCCTTAACGTTAGATCAGCGATCGACAGGTCCGGACAGGCATGCGTAGACGAAAGACATAAAACGGTCATAAAGATGGATTTCAAGGTGTATAGAATCCGTGCCGACAGCGAACGTTTGGACGATGTGGAATACATTATGTAATCGATATGTTTAAAGCACTGTATTTGAGTTGTAACTGAGATGTAGTTGAATATTAAAAACTGTCTGTAATCTTTTCAGCATATTGTATGTTATATATTATCCAACGGATGGTATCCCTATATCATTTGAATACGTATCAATTCCATTTAAAGACATATGTGTAGGGGCACAAAACCTTATACGATGTGCGCTGTACACATAGTGTGCGAACGATGTTTGGAGAGTGTGCGCGCCACGTGCGTATGATAGCGAACCGGGTGATCAAATTTCCCATACATCACGTGAGCACTATGGACGAACGGTGTGCGATAGTAATCGTGGTTGATGTAAATATAGATATGGCTCTCTTAAACTAAAGACGTTTTCGTGTTAATGTCTTTACAAACCTGATATTGAAATATGGTGTCATAGTTTAGATTGGACATATTGGGCATGGTGCGTGTACCAATAAGGTTTCTCCTCATCCGAGGCAGTCCAAGGTACATTATGAATAGAAGCTGTAGTCATTTGGATATAAACTATTATTTTTGTTCAGCGTTAGCACATCTTGGAGAATATGGTTGAAGGGAACTGTTTGATGCAACCCTCATACATGTTATAAAAGATGCATTTCAAACCTTATATTTGCGTTCCATTACATTCAAATCTATTTATTGGAAATAAGAAAAAATAGTGGGGTTTTTTCACGTAAAAAAGCAATACACCGTCCTGAAAACAGCATTAATTGAAAAGCCTTTTTTAGCGGGAAATATGATGTGTTGGCAATTGTGATGAAATACACGGTTGAACAATACACAAGTCGTTCCACTTTGCAACAAGTGGAGGGGGGGGGGGGGGGGGGGGGACTGTTGAATAACATAGTGAGGTCAGAGGTGTTATAACGGTGCATGCATTACTGTTAATATTACTACAAACCTGCTTTCATTGATTCCTAACAACATTTTTGAGTTGGTACTGTTATCTAGAGGGACTGCAACACAAATGTAAATATTGATATATGTGTTTTTGGTAACTGAATTAACTATTACAAATGTTTGGAACGATTTAAGACTTATACGATATTTATGAAGTAAATTTGTAAGGATGTACTTTCTTCTTTCTCCTGATGAATCCATACTATTTACGATTATTGAATATTGCGTTACATCCTCCATTTTGAATTAATTAAATAATGTAGTTTACAATACCGTATCTATAAATGACACAAATAAATAAGTTATCCAAACCATTTGCCAATGCCGTAGACAGAGGAAAGCTGTGTGTCATGAGGAGAAAATTAAATGACTAATGCAAGTCTGTAACTGCTGTATACTGATGCATAGACCTACCTCCTTAGATGGTGATGAACCTCCCGTCGCAATTGTTAGATAAAGGTTCACTGCAGCTCAGTTTCCTGTAAGTAAGAAAATGTTGTCAACTAAAATTGAATAAATTGTTACACGACAAATAGGCCATAGCAAAAGGATGAAGAGAAAAAAGAAGAAGATTTCCTAGATTCTACTCGAGTTCCTATCTTGCACTACAAGAGTGTCCCATGTTGACTAAGATTAATAATCACATAGTCGGGTGGTGCAGGGGAAACCGCACTAACTTTCTATCAACGCGGCCGAGGTTCGTTTCCCCAATCGGACGTGAACAGGTATTGGATTTTTTTCAGGTATTCCGGATTCGACAACGACCACGTGCACGCTTTTATCCGGCCAACAAAAGTGATATGCATACGTAAGAAGACTTGTTTCAAAATTATTGTAAAAAAGATAAATGTTTATATTTGTTTTTCATGTTGACAACGTAAACAAATGATGCAATCAGAGCTCCATGCTGTGTTTACAAATGTCGCTATGGTCAACAGGGTGATCCCATTCACGAATTATATACAATGTTTGAATATCTTTTTAAAAATGTCTGTAGTTGTCTCTTTTACACATCGGCATTTTTAAATGGTTCAAACGCGTATGATCTTCATGAAAACTCCGAAAATACGTTTTCTTTTACTATGAACGGGTTACCATTTAGTTGATCTTGACAAAATAGCATGTAACAATAGTACAATTGTGCTATATCGATCAACTCTGACAATTGTATACCCTATACCACTTTGTAATTAGACGTTTATATTTACAAATGTTGACGTTTTAAATGCGATTTTATGCTGATATTTAGGCGTGAAAAGAAAAAAAACGTTTTCTAGTTACCGTCTAAATTAAAATCAGTGAGACACATCTCAGGGTATGCTTAGCACTGGTTATCAGAAGTAAAATCTATAACGAAGTGTTCACATTTACATTGAGGGTGATCAATAACGGAGTAATTATATGTTTATGACAAACAGCATTATGATTATCCTTTCAACACATTTTGTTTTCTTTTCTTGAAAGCCAAATGCACAGTTTGTTTTCCATTTTATTTCATTCCTTAACATTTTTTTATAATAATTAATATCTGAAGTAGCTTGACTACCCTAAATTTTCGATAAAAAATATTTCTTTCTATAACTTTGACGTAAATGTGAACAAAATGAACATTAGAGTAAAAATGGTATCCATCCTCAATTTTGGCTTTACTCACTGCACAATGAATAAATAATGTTGCAAGCATACATTATCAACTAAACGTTGACATAAATAACCACGTGTTCCTTGTTCAACATTATAAAACAATTCTTGCCATCATTAAATATATTTTCAATTATATTTTATCTCATTTTATTACCATAACTACGCTAACCCTGATTTTGTCTATATCAGTTTTTTTATTAATTCATCTATTCATCGTTACATGGACAATTTCAAAGTAGAATAATTACCAAAACAAAACGTTCGTGATTCACGTCCCGTTCGACGTTATTTATTTATATATCATTGTCAAAAGACTATTTTACCAAAACTAAAACTAGTTCGGAGAAGAAATTTAATCAGAACTCCATTTGATTCTAAAATATTTGAAGTATGTATACATTTCTGCTGACAATGATCGTTGATCCCGCAATATTAGCCAAAATACCGGAGTGTCCCTTTCAGAGTACATTAATACATGTTCAAGGGCCTTCAATGTAAATGAGCTTGATAGTGTTTGCGTTCTATTTATAGAAGCAGGCGCCTGAAATACCAACTTATAGTAGAAATGAAAAGTGGATGCTGCAGTTGTGCGGTATATTGCGCACTATGACGTGCATACCTAGTGAACAGAATGTGCACTAGACAAAACACTGAGGTGCACTCCAGTTCACGTCAGTGTTAACTCCAGTGCACAACCATGTGAACTCCGGTGCACTACAGTGTTTACCAAAGTTTAAAAGACTAAAGTACATATTTCAATAATTGTTTATGATGAAATGGGTTCCTTCATGATATGAACATTGAAATTAAAAGGAAAATATCATTTGACTAAATATTTCATAGTATCGATACGCATATTGATTTTCTTCTGATTACTTAAAATTTCCATTAACATATACATGTACAAAGATAAATTGTACACTAACTCTAGTGGTTATGGAAAATATATAGATAGCTTTACTATTTCAGAGAAAAAAAATTAAAGTACACTTTATCATAGTTCAATTCACATCACATTCAATATCAATGTTGTATTGTCAGGGTGGGGGATCAGTAACTGTTATGTGATATGGGTAAATGTGGTAAGATTTGTTAAAGTTGTATATTTTTTTTTATGAAAGGTTTCTCAATAACACGACATCAAGAGAGTAATTTGCTTCTTTGTTTTATAAAAAAGGCCAGTGGCTTCATTAGTTCCATCGTATATACATATATAAACATATGCTTTACTGAGCCAAAATTGTTTATAAACAAATCAAGAACATATAACATTCCAGGAAAATCGTTTATTATGGCAAGGCATTGTATAATTAAAAGGTAAAGCTCAAGCTAAAGATGTGTAATTAATTAAAGTTCGTTAATCCCAAATTGCCTTCTTTTAGGAAAATTTAGAAATTAACTGTGAGTTAGTCTGATTTCGATTTCTTTGTTATATATGTAAATACGTCAGGTACATGTAAATGCTGCTGGTTAAATTAGAAAATACATCCCCAACCACCACCCCGTCGCTTGTGTCTACTGTGTTCACCACAATAACGTAGCAGGTATTACAGCTTGCCTGGTTGTACAGTAATTAATTACCACAGTATTACACAGTATTTTCCTTTTTAGAATACATGGCGTTACCTCCATGATATTTCGATATTCTTTCTCCAAAATTAATATACAGACAAAATCCTAATATTCACTATTATGTACTTGTTAATATAACGATAGACTTATACATTTTAAGTAGACGTAATACTGTTATTACTATGAAGGAACTTTACTGGTGATTTTGTCTTTAAGACAGAGTATTATCAACTTTAAACCATCAAACATGTACCATGGTTTTAATAGGTCATCACGCTTTATAGATATTTAGCTATTCACTTAAAAGGAAACTGCTTAAATCATTTTAAGAATATGAAAAGGTAACATCTTATATTCTATTTTTCATTGATAAATTGAGCAGTCGGTAAGGGGAGAAAATCATAGTATGAATAAACTGATTAAAATGCCAGACATAATATGATTAAGAAAATTACCTAGTGCACTGTAGTTCACTCTAGTGCACAAGGATGTGCACTAGGCTAACGAGTTACGTTTGCACCCCACTGTATTCGTTTTTTCAAAATGAAGAAACATTTTTTAAATTGATAGGATGATATAAAGTACATTGATATTTCCCTAAAAAGTGTCCCGTTATAGGTACAGTGACGTTGCATGGTGACCTCGCAGACAAATGTTTGTCACTCTCATGTGTTTAGTGTTATGTCATACACAGGTAGTTAGATTTTACGTGTTGACGAGGTAGCGAAATATTCCCCCCAGAAAGCTCATCGATACCGTTAATACACAGGTAGTTCAGGTTAACGCGGTGACCTTTTGATACGCTTTTATTGGAACCCCCAGTGCGTTTTACGAAGTATTTTAGGTATTTCTGAAAACATAAAGTCATAAATAATAGTGCAAACTTTGTTGCTATAGCAACAGTCTTGATTGATTTTTATATGACACACGCAATAAAAGAGGTTCTTCCATTTAACTTGTAGATTGACGTCAGAAGCTGTGCCGACCTAAACATACAAACCGCTGGGAAAAGCTGCGAGAAAATCGAGTTAGATACTGAGCACTAATCGCTGTGAGAAATGAGAATGATAATCAAGCAACAGAATAAATTGCTCAAAGTGTTTGATGTACTTTCTGGTAAATGAAATATTTTCAGAATAATTAGCAATGTTTTTGTTTTGTTTTTCGGTCTAACAGTTCTAAACAATGCCAAAGTTCACAAGGCAGTGGCGTGTAAAGGGTTGATACTTCACTTTCATTTCAGTATGTTGTTCATACCATTATTAAACCCCAGTTTATATAATATGGTGAGATAAAACAAACAAAAAACTCCATTATCGTTATACATATTGTCAGGTAAGTTGCATAATTGCAATATTATACCAATTAAAATCAATACAATCAGTAGAAATACCGCCAACCTAGAGAGTATTACAACTGTCTGTATTGCTGTATTGCAGTAAACAAGGACAGGAAATGATGCCGTATACCTAGCTAGATTGAGTTTAGCTTGCTAAAGTGTTTTTTAGTTAAGTTTTATGATTTTAAGTGGTTAACAGTTCCTCGTAAAATTACCTTGATAACAAAACAAAAATCAAATATAACTTATACTTACCTAAAATATACAGGGTGACCACGGACACGCTTCCTTACACTCGGGTTGCCATAGTGTGTCATACACGGGTAGCTGAATGCTGCATGTTGACCAGGTAGAACACAAACCTCTTTGGTGACCTTTATACAAAGATAGTAAAAGTATAATCAAAAACCTCCATTGCGTCTGCTTTCCTCTAATATTTCAGCATGAATAATGTTCAAACAATGCTACTTTCATGGTAATATAAAAGGTATACTCATGTGACATATGAGATCAATCGATTTGAGATAAACTTTTACAACAGACGTGACATTAACACAGAAGGATTTTTGTACTCCCGTGTATAAAAGTATTCAATGATATAGTGACCGCGAAATAAAAACTGTTCGGATTAGCTGTGACACAAACCCAGTATATACCGCACACTGTTAGGATTAGTTGTGACACAAACCCAGTAGATACCGCACACTGTTCGGATTAGCTGTGGCATAAATCCAGTAGATACCGCACACTGTTAAGATTAGCTGTGGCACAAACCAAGTAGATACCGCACACTGTTAGGATAAGCTGTGGCACAAACCCAGTAGATACCGCACACTGTTAAGATTAGCTGTTACACAAACCCAGTAGATACCGCACACTGTTAAAATTAGCTGTGACACAAACCAAGTAGATACCGCATACTGTTAAGATTAGCTGTGACACAAACCCATTAGATACCGCACACTGTTAAGATTAGCTGTGACACAAGCCCAGTAGTACTGCACACTGTTAGGATCAGCTTTGACACAAACCCAGTAGATACCGCACACTGTTAGGATTAGCTGTGACACAAACCAAGTAGATACCGCACACTGTTATATTTAAGATTAACTGTGACACAAAACCAGAAGATACCGCACAGTGTTAAGATTAGCTGTGACACAAACCCAGAAGATACCGCACTCTTATTGCAGACATAAATAAGGTTGAGAAACAATTAAAACGCTCTCTATGTTTAAGCCAGGGTAACGGTTGGTTGAACAAAAACGTTTCAGGGTCGGATACCTAAATCAAACGGAAAGCGACACGAGTCATAACGAAGAAGAATTAAGATAACGATACTTTATCTTTTAATACAGTTATGATAACGGCAAAGTATCCGTTCGGACATCCAAGTGGTTATCGTTCGCTTTGCTATCGTTTGTGTTGGCTGGATCTGCTTTAGCGGTCGCATCCATATATATTGGCTTTAGCGGTAGAATCGTATTGATTGACTTTTCCGATCGAGTATTTGACAGCCGTTTAATGTCTGCAGACTACGCATGCTTGTCCTGACCTATCGACCGCTGTCCCACCGTAACGGACGACTGCCGATTGTATTACCTACTGTTGGCAGTCATCCGTTACGTTCGATCAGCCGCTACCTACAACTTACAATGATTTCGCTGATCAGAGACATAGACATAAGTATTGTTATAGATGCAAATATATCATTTCAATCAGAGATGCATATTGTAATACCGTCCTCCCATAGTCTTTTCCTCGCTCCAGCGGTGAACAAGGTACTAGTTTAATTCGGTTCGACATCTGTCTAAAGCTTACCGGCAATAGATGATATAACAAGTTGTATAATGAGTGATAGCCTACGTCTCTATTCAGTTGGTCACTAACGGAAGGGTTGAGGTGTAGGGGATACATCACAATTTCTATTTTATGTTCCCGAAATTAAGAATTCGTTTGCCATCATGACTTTTACACGAATGAAGATGTGAAACTCTACAAGACCAAATGATATGATGTGTGTCAATCAACAAGTGTCTTCCCAATAACCAATATCTTGGTGTTTTGATGTACAGTATACAGGTAATATTAATGTTACCAGGTAAGACCAAAGTAGTCCTTAATCACGGGCACTATATACATTGTCATGCCGAATAACAGATAAAACTATAACATTAAAACAAATCTTATAAAATGGTTTAAGCTATTAATAGTTAATATTGTATAGTTATCATACTTGCTAAACACCTATGGTTGAAGTGAATTCCAGGTCCTAATTTGTTTTCTTACTAATCAAAGTTAACTTACAAAAACTAAATGGCATTTGCCACCACAACTACTGATACATGATTAATTTGATATATGAAGTTTGATTTGCTTGTAATGTCCTGTCTCAGGTCTCAATGAAAGTATCTGTTTTTATCGTTACAGTTAACTCATTTCATTGTTTTATCAATTGTTCTGCATATTTCCAATACTAAGGGCTGATTGCACATAAAAGGACATTTTTGGATAAGCATGCAACATAAGTAATATGATGATATTCAATTTGTGAAAGTTTCATACTTATCCAACAATGCCTTTTTACTTTAACAAACTCCTTTTCTTGTGTTATGGAATACAATGACTAAAGTGCATCTCCTTGCCTTCCACCATTTTGTTCCATACAATACAAGTCTTTATGAAAGTATGTAGATTACACAGGCTCAATATAATGTTATAGTAGTCAGAGGTGCGTATGACATGCTAGGCTGACCAGAAACCAGACAGTTCATGCTTTGAACACGCCAATAGAGACTAATTCGTACATGTATAGACGCGTGATGAAAATAATTCTGACATATGCATCTGTATGTGACAGGTATTGAGATATAATATATTTACAAATAGTTTTTTGTGTTTTAAGGATGTTCACCTCTGAGAAGTAAAACTATTCATGTGTTAAACTTTTTTTTTCTTATATGCATTTTTGGAAAAGGCAGTTATTGGTATAGCAGAAGATGCAAAAATGTATACATTTTTGTGTGCTCATTTTTGTGTTATGATCGGTCAAAGATACAAGTTTTACATAATATGTGATTTTAAGTGAACTTTGCTGTTGTGATCATTTACAGGACAATTTCACGCAACATATTCCGAGTTTGTTATCAGATACACATGTTTGTATGACTATTCGCAGAATTGACAAAATTAGTATTTTCATTTGAATTTTGAAAAATAAATTTTCTTAAACTTTATCTTTTAATTCAAAAGATCAATCTAAGTGGCCGCTACTCCTTAATTTTAAATGACAACATAATTGAAAATATTTGTTATTGGATAGAAAGAATTATACGTTTCTCTAATTAAAACAGGCATAAATATAAGAGGGACGTGTGCTTCTTTTTTTGTCCCATTACTATTTGTATATTTTTCCCAATTTCGGGGTCCAAAAAAAAAATTACGTTAAACTAAATTTGTAAATATAAATTATCATTTTTTTACTTTGTTGCAATTTTTTTCATTACATTGAACATTATTAAATTGAACAGCAAATGGAACTTGCTGCAATTCAAAATGGCGACACAATGACGATAACAGTGATTCAGCTATTGTACAAAAAAAAAAGGGAAATGTTGGCCTTTTGTGAAGCGTAAGAAATATACATTTTCAAAATGACCACCGAATTGGGTTTTTTTTAAATTCTTGTGAAAATAGCTTTACAAGCAATAGGCATCTAGATTATTAACACATTTTTCGGATGCGTGTTTGCTATTAAACATGATCATAAATTGATAAATATCATGAAAATCCCTTACATAAGATCAAAAAGAGATTTGAACGTGATTGAAACAAAGACGAGTAAATCTTCAAGTGACAATATTCGATGTTGTGACTTTTTAACCTATCGCTACCCACTTGCGAAAGTGTATACTCTCTAGATGGATTCGGACATATCACACATGTGACGTCACGCAGTCAGATATTAGGAAAGCCAAGCGGTAAAAGGTCAATTTGCAGCGTATTGATAAATCCGTACAGGCAAGTTTCAAACTGATCGTCGCATAGCAAGAGAACGCATTGCTCTATTCTTAACACGTTCACAGCTAATTATTGATAGGGCTAATACATCATATGAATATTGCATGATGATACGCTCCAGTTGACCTTTATATTTTATATGTGCATGTTTATTTGAAAAAGGTGATCAGACGAATACATATGTATGGAGTCAGCGTAAGGATAAGTTTAAGGCATGGTTTCAAGATAAAATATCAACGTTTTATGATCCTTATATATATTTATACAATTAGCCGCTATTTTTTTTTTATTAAAGTGACTGTTCAATATGGACCTTTGCTAATGGGCCACGTTTTGTTGCCTGATTGTATTGTGCAAGTCCCTATTTTATGTTGACCATACGATATTTTATGTAAAATGCTAGCAAGCAGAGTTGAGGATAGCAGCGCTGCAATCCAGGGATGATTTGGGGTATTGGAAGTCGTCCTGCAGGTAAAAGGACAATGATAATGTGCGAACACTTAAATAAACTTAAATGAGCATTTATCGATCACGCATCACTCTAAGCGTTCCATAGGCGTAATCAGCTAAGCCCGATATCAAATCTAACATGATTAACGATTATATATTATTGTAGGTCTGGAAATGCAACTAACAAATACATAGACCTGTGTCAAGATAATCCCTAATCTAGATGCTTCTGTAACATGATTTATTTCAGAATTTGATAATGTAACCGTGTATAATAGGAATACACCATACTAAGAGTACATATTCGTCATTAACTCCAACGATATTTCTATTATCTGAGACGTGCATCTATTTAGCTTATGATTGTTATATAATTATAATTTCCGTTTGAAACAATATTTAAACTTAGAACGCATAACTGTATCACTCATAAACATGTATATACGATAATCTCCATTACAATTTCATACGCAGGTAGCTTATTTCTTAATGTTGACAAGATTTTTTTTCTCCAGAAGTAGCTGTAATACCATCGCCAGCATATTATAAATTACGCTGTAAACACTGCCGCTATGGCAACCTGACATACATCTAAATACGTTGGTTCACAAAACAAACAAAGGCGCAATAACGTGACCTAAAAGCCGAGTTGATTTGTAGACACGAGTTTAAACTCTTACAGATTGTATCAATCAAATCATAAAAAAATTGCACTTAACTTTTAATGTTTATTATAATCCATATAAATTCCAATCTTGAGGTTTTAATAAAAGTGCTAAAAACTAACAGCCCATTTCCTTTTTACCAATGCCGTGCATTTCAGTCACAAATAGATGATCAAGAATATTCTAACAACTTACTCTGAATTACCAAAAGCCCAAGGGGGATGATATATGACCAGTAA